AATCAAATCCATATATGCACCAGTTCACAGGGTCCCGTTTTTAATTAAATGGACCGACCTTCCCGTTTGGGGTTAGAGAAAAATTTACTCTGGTATAAAAACTTTGTGGAGGGGAAGAAGGGGTAGGGGGGTTAAATCTAGGAAGGGATGGAGGGGGGAGGGGGGTAAAAGAGGTTTTGTGCACAAGGGGGTTGGAAAAATACAGCAGGCATTTTTGGAGTTTTTAGATAGGAGTGGTGAAGCCCAATGGTTTTTAGGACTTTATGAACTGTTGGGGTGTGTGGGAGGGTAATATTTTTTGAAGGGTTCCCGGGAAATGGTTTGCCGGACTTGAGTCCTGGAGGTGGGGGAAAATGCCGTGCCCAAATTTTTAAAAGGGGGGGGGGGGGGTTTTGGGGTATTTACTGTTTGGAGTGAATCTGAAAAATCTCAAAAACTGCAGCCTTTTAAAGATGTGATTATGCGTGAATGGTGATGAAAAATGTTTTCTTTTTTTGGGTTGGGGCCCCACCTCAGTGAAAAAACGGCCAGATGTTAATTAAAAGAAAAAAAAAACTTGCAGTGTGTAGGGTTGTTGGGGTTTTTTATGTGGCCTGCTGGAGAAGCCGGCCCCCTCTAGTCCCCTTTAAGCAAGCTGGTTTAAAAAAAAAACCTTTTGTGCTAGGGGGGAAATTTTGCAGTATCCTAACACTGTTTAAAATACCTTTCTGACTTTTTTTGGAAAATACTTCAGTTTACAGGGCCCTTTAAGGGCCCGTCTGGGTTTGTTTATGCTTGAGTGAATACTTTAAACCCGCACTCTCATTTTAAACATTTTAAGATTATTTCATTTTGTTTAGTGTTGTGGGATGTTTTAAATTAAAATACCATGGGCCCCAAAGGGAAAATTGTAGTGGTACCCCCGTGGTAAAAAAGTGAGAAAAACCCCTAGATGTTTAAGAAGGAAAAAAAATACGAAGTGGAAAGATGTCCCCAAAAGTTTTTGGAGAAGTACCACCCTGAGCAGCTGAAAAAAAGCCCTCTTTGCAACAAAAATTCAGTTTACAGAAAATTGTCACATCTTTGGGGTAGTTAAAGGGCACCCGAAACAGAGGACTGTGGACAGTTATTTTGTTTAGGGCAGGGGTCCAGTGGGCTAAGCTGGTTTCCCGTGGCATTAAAGGGCAAAGAAGGGAAGTAACCCCCAAAAGGGGTTTACCGGGAAGGGCCCCTGGGGGGGATTCTCCTTTCAAACACTTAAACCCCCAAATCCCTTCTCCTCCTCCCCTTCTTCCAGATGCCATCACCAATTTAAAAAAAAAGTAAAATAAAAAAAGTTACTTTATATTTAAAAAAAATTAAATTTAATTTCTGTAGTATTTTTTTTGTGTGTGTAAAACTAAATTAAACTCTATTTAAAAATATTTTTTTTTTTTTTTTGAATTTTTTTTTTTTTCGGGAAAGGATTTAAAGGGACAGGGGGAACCTTTAAATTTTCGAAACCCTTTTTTTGGTCCCGAAGGCTGTTCGAGTGCCCTTTTCCCAATTAATTTTTTCCCTGAGGGAAAAATATAAATTGGGGTTTGCCCATTTCAGACCCCCCAAAAAAATTTCCCCTTATTTAAAAACACTTACAAAAAAAAACACTTACATAATTGGTTTTTGTTGGGGCAGTTTGATTTTTTGAGGTTTCCCCTGTATTTTCATTTTTTCTTTTTTGGGAAAAATTGCTTCGATTTTTTAGACTTTTTTGAATTTAGAAAAACCCCCTTACTGTGGCCATAATGAAGTTTTAACTTTTTTCACACAAAAAAGAGGGTTTAAAAATAAGTTTTTGGGGAATGGCTGACTTTTTCTGAATGTTTGATTGGGAATTTAATTTACTGGGCTTACTGAATGACTTGACTGACCTACTGAAACACTTGAAAATGATTATGAACCCCTTGACGACTTGCTTTAATGACTTTAAAGACTTACTGAATCACTTGAGGGCTTGCTGAATCACCCTTTCTGGGTTATTAAATGACTTGACTGGTTTACGGAAGACTTGACTGCCCTTTTGAATGGGTTGCTTACTGAATGATTTTATGACTTACTGAATGACTTGAATGACTTATGAATTTATTGGCTTATGAATGGGCTTTTACTGAATGACCCAAAATTAGACACTCCGTACAATCATCAATTCAGTTTCCGAACCCCTCCATCCCCTCAGCCCGTTTGGCCACAACATAACCTCCACTCTCTTCCAAACATCCACAAAACCCCGCTTTCCCCAATTTTAAAGGGAAGGGAAAATTCTATTTATTTCTGTTTCATTTTTTTAGGCTTAAGCAGTAAAAAAAACATAATTCATCACAAAAATTAAAAATACAGTTTAAAATTCCCTTTTTTTTTTGTAAGATGTGGAGCCCTTAAAAAAAAATTGTTTGGCTTTTTTGGGGGTTCAGGAACGTAACCCTTTTTTTTCCCCTAAGTTTTTCAGTTCCTTTAACCCCGGGGTTTTACTAACAGTGTTTTCAGGAAGTTAAAATACTGGTTTTTAACCCCTTTAAACCCTTTTAAAATGTCCAAAAAGTTCGTTCACATGCGTTGTGCTCCAAAGTAGATCAGGTCTTTTTTTTATATTTTCCAAAAATTTAAAAAAAAAAAAAAAAAGTAGATCAAAAATTTTTCCCACCCTTTTTTAAAGGTTAAAAAAAAAAAATTTTACTTTTTTTTTTCATTTCTTTTAAATGTTTGAAAAAAGTGATCTAGTTTGGACAGTTTAGGGTTTTTTAAAAGGTCCCCAAAAGGATATATACGGTTTTTCGCTAGTGCCCCCAAAGTATAATACACTTTTTTTTTCCTGCCTTTAAATTTGGCACGACTTGGCCTGAGATGCCTTGTCAGCATAGAAGGGGTTTTAACATCAGTGTGGTGGGATTAAAAAAATTTTAGGACACTTAGTACCCTTTTTGGGGAGCACCCGTTCAAATGGCCAAACCCAGAGCAAAAAGTGCAGCAAAACCTTGGGGGTTCACTGATGTATGTGTATTAACCTCCCCTTTTAAGAGGGGAAAATGATTTTTTTCCCTGAGTTTAGTGGCTTTAAGGTGGATGTGGCCACAAAGGGGTTTAGGAAAATATAAAACCTCAATAATAACACATGGGCTAAAAAGTGCAAAAACCCTTTTAGAAAACTTTAAATATGCCCTAGGTAAAGGAAACAATTCTGGTGGTGCCTGGCTGGCTGACGGGGGCTGGGTGATTGGCGGCTAGTGGCGGGGGAGTTCGTGGAGCCAGCTGTGGGGAGCCAGCGTAAAGGGAGCCCCGCTGTGTGGGAGGGCCCGCTGGTGGCTGGTCAGCTGTTTGGGGGCCTGGCTCTATCTCCGTTTGTCTGTCTGTATTATGTCTTTTATGTCTCTATCTGTCTCTGTTTTTATCTCTTTCTACCCGTCTGTCTTCTCTGGGCTCACAGGTACACATAAATTTTCAAATATAGTAGTTTTAAATTACCCAGGATAACCCCAAAAAAACCAAAAAAAGTGCTATAAATCTGCTTGAAAATTTGAGGGAAAATGATGATGCAGTCTTGTGGCTCTCTGAGGCAGAGCTGAAGGTAGACGATAGAAGGGGGTTGGGCAGACAAATAGACAGACATGTTTGTGTACCAGCGAAAACAGAGCAGGCACCCTTGTGAATGCTCATCAAACTTCAGCTCTTATCAAATGTTATCTCATCTTATCACGTCACTGTCAGGGGTGGACTTTGTTTTTCATGCTTCAAGGGAACTTATTATTGCCTATTATTATTCTCCTCCCTCCCTCCCCTCCCCTCCCCTCCCCTCTCCCTCCCTCCCTCCCTCCCTCCCCTCCCCTCCCCTCCCCTCCCCCTCCCTCCCTCCCCTCCCCTCCCTCCCCTCCCCTCCCCTCCACCCATCCCTCCCCTCCCCTCCCCTCCCTCCCCTCCCTTCCCTCCCCTCCCCTCCCCTCCCCTCCCCTCCCTCCCTCCCCTCCCCTCCCCTCCTCTCCTCTCCCTCCCTTCCCTCCCCTCCTCTCCCTCCCTTCCCTCCCCTCCCTCCCCTCCCCTCCATCCCCTCCCCTCCATCCCCTCCCTCCATCCCCTCCCCTTCCATCCCCTCCCTCCATCCCCTCCCCTCCATCCCTCCCTTCCCTTCCCTTCCCTTCCCTCCCCTCCCCTCCCCTCCCCTCCCCCTCCCCTCCCTCCCTCCCTCCCTCCCTCTACTATACTATACTACACTACTACTACTACTGTATACCACTACTACTACTACTACTACTACTACTACTACTACTACTACTACTACTACTACTACTTCTTCCTTCACAACATATCCAAAACATTGCTGGGACCTATAAATACTTTGTATATATTCCAAGACAATAGTAAATGACCACGTCAGGTGTAAATGTCCACCTGTCAGTGTGTTTGTGACAATTTGAGAACAATTTCAGTACCTAATATTAGTGTCAGAACAAAGATTGGTTATGAAATGACAAGAACTACTATAAATTGTAATTATCAGAACATAAAAATTATATAAAATTTTTTTTTAGAAAAATGTGCTCTTTTTTTTTCAGTAAAAAAAACTATTTTTTTATTTTTCAAAATATTCTGGGCACTGGGGTAGTGTACGTATATATACACGTTTGGACCATTTACGGATTAAGTAACGGTCTACTGTATGTACAGTCACCAGACTTGTTCCTGGAACTGCTGCAGTCTGTGGAAATCTTTGAAACAAGGTATCATGCACAGTGGTATCTTACATTCTTCGCACATAAACTGAGTGTCTCTGCATCTTTGTTGCTGCCGTTTTGTTTGTACACAGACAACTTGTCTCTTCTGAGCCCATTTCTTCTTAGTTGCAGGAAGCCATATTAGGAAGTGATCACCTTCCCGCCTCAAACGCTTGGGTAATTCCTAATCAATTCGTGGATGGTTGTGTATATCAGGTGTTGTTACCTTATACAAAATTATTAGTTGTCTGACGACAGATAAGCAAAAGTCACCATACAGTGGTCTGTTACCGGTATTTATTTTGTACATATTATATGCATTGAGGATTGAACTGTCGATGAGATGGAAGAAAAGTTTCATGTACCACTTGTGACTTACAAACACAATCGACAAAGCCAATCTACATGTCACATTTGTCAACCAAACGCATGTTTTGTGTATAATCAATCACTGTTGCTGGTTTTTGAATATGCTCATTAGTCACTCTATCCACCTTGCTACTGTCTTTAATTTTGTTATGGTGAATGGATGTTAACAGTGTGATATCTCGTTTGTCATGCCATTGTAATCCCATGATGTCATTGGCAGTAAACACCTGCACCTCACCAGCATGAGTGCCTACATTGAACCTGGGCATATGTTTACGATTAGAACGCACTGTGCCACACACATCTGTCATGTTCACTCGCAAGAAATCGGTGAGTAAGGGGCTTGTGTACCAGTTATCAGTATATAATGTATGCCCCTTACCAAGATATGGTGCCATCATTGTTCTCACTACGTCACCTGAGATACCCAATAACATCCTGATATCTTTCAATGTTTTACTTCCCGTGTATACAGTTATGTCCAGTACCAGGCAACTCTCACAGTCACAGAGTACAAAGAGTTTTATACCAAAGCATTTCCTCTTGCTTGGTATGTACTGCTCGAACGACAATCTGCCTTTGAACAAAATCAAAGACTCGTCAAATACAAGATTTTTGAATAATAAAAGTACATGTTGAACTTTTGTTTCAGATGCATAAAAACATTTCTAATCTTGTAAAACCTGTCACTTCTGTCAGGCCTGGTTTTGTCAGAGAAGTGCAACATACATAACAATAAAATAAATCTGTTCACTTGGATGATTTCACTGAAGGCCGGGGTAGAAATTAGCTGATCTGTGGACCAGTATGATTTTATATTATGCTTATAGACATGAGGCATGAGCATTATTGTTGCAAAAAACAAATAAATTTTAGCCACATTTGTCTCTCTCCACCGGTGTAGTCTTGACTGTGGTGATATGATTGTATTTGCCATGGTGTACTCAAAATACTTGTTACTTTCCCTGACAATATTTTCCATCAAGGGCTGGTCAAAGAATAGTTCAAAGAATTCCAGTTCATTTGCATTGTTTCCAAGGGAACAAGTTGGCAGGAGTCCACTTTGAGAGTCATCAAACTGATGTGGGATTGTGAACAAAATTGGGATTTTGCTGCCAATCCAGGATGCGGTCTGTGGTGGATACTGGACATCATAAGCTGGTTGTAGATGTGGTTGTGGTGTGGGGGTGGATGACGTTCTGCTTTGTCCTGAATCTGATGAGTTGGGTGTGGCTCCCAGCCTGGGCTGGTGCGTCATGCTGTGTGCTTGTGGCACCACCACCGCCACTATCACCAACGTTACCACCACCTACTGATGCCTATGCTCTATCCATACCAAGTGTAGCCACATCATCCTCACTTTCACTGTCTATTCCAAGTGTAGGGCCATGGGATGTACTCCAGGATGTACTCTGGGATGTGCTCTGTCCCCTTGGAATTGCACGTGGTACACTACCTGAGCACATGCGGTGGCATATATACTGATGCTTCACTGGTGAATATGATTCATCACTATCACTACAGTGGACCCCCGCATAGCGACTTTAATCCGTGCAAGAGGGCTGATTGTTATGCGAAATGGTCGGTATGCGAATGAATTTTCCCCATAAGAAATAATGGAAATCAAATTAATCCGTGCAAGACACCCAAAAGTATGAAAAAAAAAAATTTTACCACATGAAATATACATTTTCCTACACACAAAGAGAAGGATACATGCACAATAGGAGAGTAGTACATGCATAATATATATTGTGCATGTACTACTCTACTAAATGAAGAATAAATGACACTTACCTTTATTGAAGATGCAGCAATGACTGATGAGAGACTGTGTCCTGGGAGTGCCTTTTCCTCCTGAGTACTGTAGGTCCTGTTTGGCATTTTCTTCAGAACAGGCCTTATCACACTGTGTATGCCACTACGATTCTTAAATCTCTCAAACCAACCTTTGCTGGCTTTAAATTCACCAATATGAGCACTAGTTCCAGGCATTTTTCCCTGTTCACCTGGGTGTTAGTCGACTGGTGTGGGTTGCATCCTGGGAGACAAGATTAAGGACCCCAATGGAAATAAGTTAGACAGTCTTCGATGACACTGACTTTTTTGGGTTATCCTGGGTGGCAAATCCTCTGGGGTTAATTGTTTCTTGGTATTCTCAATAAGCCACACCAACAACGGTGCTACAGCAGCAGCAGCAGCTGACGGTGGTACAACAGCAGCAGACGATGCTACAGCAGCAACAGACGATGCTACAGCAGCAGCAGACGATGCTACAGCAGCAACAGACGATGCTACAGCAGCAACAGACGATGCTACAGCAGCAACAGACGATGCTACAGCAGCAACAGACGATGCTACAGCAGCAGCAGACGATGCTACAGCAGCAACAGACGATGCTACAGCAGCAGCAGACGATGCTACAGCAGCAGCAGACGATGCTACAGCAGCAGCAGATGATGCTACAGCAGCAGCAGACGATGCTACAGCAGCAGCAGACGATGCTACAGCAGCAGCAGACGGTACTACAGCAGCAGCAGCAGCTGACGGTGGTACAACAGCAGCAGCAGCTGACAGTGCAGCAGCAGCTGACAGTGCAGCAGCAGCTGACGGTGGTACAGCAGCAGCAGCAGCTGTACCACCAATAGTAGCGATGATTGATTGGGGTTTATTATACAACCTGGCCAGCTCGGAGACACGCACTCCACTTTCATACTTATCAATGATCTTTTTCTTCATCTCTATAGTAATTCTCACCCTTATTGCTGTAGGGTTGGCACTAGAAGCTTTCTTGGGGCCCATGGTCACTTATTTTCCAGAAAAAATCACCAAAAACACTGTAATAATACGAAATGTTCCGATTGTATGCTTGGATGTTACTGCGGAGGCTGGCTGGTAAACAATGCCACCGGCGGAACATGTGAGTGTGGCTCAGGCCGCACATTGGACGCGTCTCGGACGAAGAGCGGTGAGCGGGTTTTTGGGCGGTATGCGAGGCAAAATTTTTGCGAAAAAAGCGAGCGGTATGAGGATTGTACGGTATGCGATGCGTGTGGTATGCGATGCGTGTGGTATGCGGGGGTCCACTGTACTTGATTGGTCATCAAGAGCAATAAAATCAAAGTCCACATCACTATCATCACCATTACTCAGTCCGAGGCCTGGCCATGCAAAAATATTAATTTTCTCCTGTGATGAGGAACAACTGAACGTGATTGAGACACACCAGCACCCTAAGTGGAAGGTTGAGGGTCTTCAGGATTTTCGGCACGATTTTCGATATCCTGATCATTGCTTTCGGTCACAAATTGATCAGAACCATAGAATTCCTCTTCAGATCCACTTCCATCACTGTCAGAACTATCATTTAGGAAGAGGAGAGCCCCAGTTTGCCTTGGAGTGAGAGCTGTCTTGCCGCAAAATATGGTGGACAAAGCATACTGAGGCGGCATTCCCACAATGCCATGTGGGCGCCCGGATTTTTTGTTTACTGCGCACACTGACCATGCAGACCCATTCCCTTCAATGTAGGCCTACCAGCCTTCTCGTGCTAAAGTTAAGGCCGCTAGAATTTTGGCGTAGTTCTACAGTTTGGATTCACGCTTCAAAACCCTAGAACTGTGGCATGGACCCTAAAAGGGTTAATACACCATCCCACTTGTTAATGGTTCCCATGCCTAAAATGGGAAAACACCAATTTTTCCACAGATTCAGTAATTTTGGTCATAGGGCATCTGCATATCCTAAGTGTTCATAGAATCTGGTCCTTGTTATCACACACAAGTGTTGAAAATTTGAATTTGATTGGATGAAGAGTTCTCAAGTTTTGAGCAAAAAAAAAAAAAAAGTTGGAAGAAGAAAAAAATTAAAGTGATTATGACATCAAATATGCAGACACTGCTTGTTCTGTCATTTTTGCTAATTAATCTTGGTTATAGTACAGTACTTTGAGTAATCAAGCGTATTGTTAAACACATGGTGAATAATTTAATTTATTCATAGAGATGTATAACACCTTTAGCCCTTTGAGGGTCCAGACCCTCAATCTGAAAATTCCCCACAGGGTTCAAGAATTTAAAAAAAAAAAATTTATTTTTATGAAATGGTAGAGAATCTTTTTCCAACGGTAATAAAACAAAAAGTAAGAAATTTGATCAAAAACTGACGAAATTATATTCTTGCGAATTTTGCCGTGCCAATGATATTTATGCATCGGTGATTTTGCCCACTTTAAGTCCTATTTTTAGCCAATTACATTGTTCCATTAGATCAAATTCTTAACTATTTTGCTAATATGTGTTCCATTTTACCTATTGAGCATAAAAAATCGCCCAGTCAACTACAGCCTCTCACTTAATGATGGAGTTCCGTTCCTAAGACCATGTCGTTAAACGAATTCATGGCTAAGTGAGTAGCATACTACTGTATAATGGTAGTGGGTTTGTGTCAACTGTCTTTGATATTGTTTTAATGTCACCTTTGTACGATTTATAACATTTCTGGTATATTTTTAAATGTTTATACAGTAGTGTACTGTACATGTATATTGAAAAGCAGAATAGAGGAAATCAGCTCTACTATACATTATTTAGGTATAAATACTGGTTAGAGAGCCCATCGTAAGTCCTAGGCGTCGGTAAATGAGTACTGTGTTGCTAAATGATGAAAGGCTATATTTCAACTACCCAATTAAGTGATCGGAAATTGGTAATTTGGCCAGTTTCTCACTAAGTTCAAAATACAGTGGAACCTCTACTTATGAGTGCATCCACGTGTGAGTTTTTCCAGATGCGAGTAGTCGCATATTACATGAATTGTGATTGATAAATAAGCTGTACAGTTGATATTAGGGAAATTATTGAAGTATTTTCGCATGCCTGGAATTCCACTGGAACGAATTGATTCCATTTCAATTAATTTAACCCTTTGACTGTCGCAACCCCCAATCCTGAGGTGTCTCCTGGTGTCGCAAAATTTAAAAAAAAAAATTATTTTTTCTTATGAAATGATAGAGAATCTTTTTCCCGATTGTAATGACACCAAAAAAACGAAATTTGATAGAAAACTGACAATTATGCTTTTGCGAAGTTAGCGACCTCGGCGCTGTTTACAAATCGGCGATTTCGCCCACTTTGAGCCCTATTTTCGGCTAATTTCATTGTTCCAGTCGCCCAAACTCATAGCTATTTCTTTAGAACTCCATTTTTTCTATTGATTGAGTACAAGAAACTGCCCATTTACCGATTTCAACTACCTAATAATGTCAGAAATTTGCAATTTGGCCAATTTCACGAAAACTAAAAAATATGACAATTTCAAAATAAGGTCCA